AAATAGTTTCTAAGAGCCATTTCCAATTCTCTTTGTTTTCCACAGAAACAATTACCCAAGCAATTGGGAATATTCCATTGTTAGCATCTCTACCCACAACACAAAGCAATTCCCCTTGACAAAAACATATGTCTATTTTGCTGAAATAATTCTTACCATCAGGCATTAAATCAACACAAATTTTAACTATGGATCCAGTATTTGATCTTCTAATCTCCTCACCATATGACCATAATCTTGCATAATTTTCAGCTATTGTCCCTTCAACTAGACTCAATGCATACTTCTTGGCTCTCCTACACTGACTCATACTCACAATAATCCTAAAATCGGTTTTTACCTCCTCTCTAAGCATTCAGACGCTCATCTTTTGATTGTTATAAAATTGGTGCTTAAAGTGAGTCCCTATCCATTTGTAAGTCATAATTGATCCGAATTTGAAATTATTTGCACAATTATGCTCACCGATAATAGATTTTATTTGGAAAGACTTATCTTCACTCATCCAAGAACCCCAAAGCCTAAAAGTACATTTGTCATCACAACATTTGACAAGTAATTGTCTAGTATCACTCTTAACAAAACATAATTGATAACCATTCGCGACAACATATTTACAAAGCATGTGTTTCAATTGCTTAGGACTCTCAAACCTCATACCTAAAACAGGTTCCTGCTCCTTCCAATTGAGCTTATCATTGAAAATGTTTGATAATTCGGGATAAACATCTTCATTGTCACCCATGTCTTCTTCGAAAAACTCACCTGCACCTGCTTTCTCACCCACCTCTCCCAAAATCTCATTACCCTTTATAAAAAAAAAATGAGGCTTCTGATGGTCATCGTCATCACCATCAACATTCGCATCCTCATCGTCATCATCGTCGCCATTCTCTTCCTCATCGTTTGTGTCACCCACATCCTGATGCCCTGATGCAACTTCCTTAACCAGTCCTGCACCATCAAGTACTTATTCCTCAATGTTACCAACAAACTCATCTTTATGTTCATCCAACCATTTCTGTATGTTACTATTCCCAAAATGGTATACATACATAAGGAGTATAACACCACATTCATATGCAATTGCTATGAAGTCGTAATAATCGGGGTCATTGCAAATTAGAGTGAAACCTTTTGGAAAATCAATATCAGGTTGGCAGTAATAGAGTTTCTCACACTTTTCCCCAGTGAACCTTTCGATGAACGCAACACACCCATCCTTGTCCATTCCTGCGAAATCGATGTCCGAAAACCTCTGAGTAATTCCACCGGTGTAGCGTATGGGGTTTCTGGCAAACATTCCTTGGAAGTGGACATCTACTTGTAAGAATATGGGTTCCATGCTTGAGGATTCGGAAGCAGCTCATAAAAAAGGGTTTACCGATGAAGTGTTGAACAAAGGATGTAAAAGGGCTCTTTTATAAAGCATATACCGACATTAAGAAGGAGACGACTAATTAATGACATGGAATTAGACAAAAGTCACAGTCAGCATCTGATGTGGTGTTAGTAGAAGGAGGTGGACTTAAAATGACCGGCTAACCCCTTCAAAATTAAAATAACGACTTAATCGACCCGACAAAGAGTAATTTGTTCCCTTATTAAGCTACATTATAGGGCCTATATGGCTATATGTCATTTTTCCTTCATCTTCTCACAATTTTTTTTACCAACCATTTAGTTGAGATGATATGTTGAGATTAAATTAAAAAATAGGTAGAGTTGTTGGATATTATTTAATGTGATAATAAGTTGACATTTAATGTGATGGTAGCTAAGTTGGTAGGTATACATTAGTATATAACTAATAATACGTAATAGTATTACATATATAGAAATAAATTACATTAAAATACAGAATAAAACAAACCATAACACTAAATAAAAACGTCATATTAAATTAAAAATCATCATACTAAAACACTACACACTAGCAATCATCTTCGGTCTGCTATTCGGGATAATCTAATGGAACTTTTTTCTCTTTTGTTTCTCATTATCTTCTCACAAGTTTTCTTTTTCTTTTTAACCAACCATTTAGTTTTCTTGACTTGAGAGTTTTATCTTCTTTTTTTTTTTTTCGATTTTTGCTTTTTTTTTCATCACATATTTTAATGCACAAATATTATAAGGGTAAGTCTATACCTACACCCAAAATAAAATAGCTTTGGGTACATCCTTATGACTTAAGGATGCATTTACCGTTAGGGATAATGATTTAAAAGGGTAATATATTTTTCGATTTGTACATATTTGGTCATTAAGTTTTTTTTTCGTCCACATTTACCCCTTCAACTTGTTAAACTGTACATATCCAGTCCTTATGATTGGTTACTCCAGGTTAACCGGGAAAAATAACTTATTAGGGTAATATATTTATCATTTTGTACATATTTAGTCCTTAATATTTTTGTACACATTTAGTCCTTAATTTTTTTTTTTTGTTTCAAAATAAGGCATTTTTTGTTTTTATATCAATTCAGTACTTATTAATGATTTATTTAAGGTTTTCTCACGACATCTAACATGAGACTATCATTGATGACAAGGACGGTTCTCTTTGGGTGCCCGCAGTGGCACCGACAATCATGTTTTTTCTGTACACAGTGTAAATTTTTCGATATTTTTCGATATTTTTCGATATTTTTCTTTCTTTTTTCTACTTACCGGCAACACCTACTACCAAATCCTACGTCTGCCCCTGATTAATGAAGTGTTTGGGGCTGTTGATGTTTATGTTCATCGCGGCCTCGACTGCTTGGCTGTATAAGTATTGTGGTTTGGCTAGGGGTGAGCAAACCTAAACCAAAAAAAACAAGAAACCGACTAAAACCGACAAAACCAAAACCGAAGCAAAACCGACAATTTGGGTTTGATATTTTTAGAAACCGACAAATCAGGTTCGGTTTTGGTTTTTAACCAGAAACCAACCCATCCAACCCGAGAAACCGACCCATACTTAAAACCGACAAACCGCCGCAAGAAACCGACTCATCCAACCCGAGAAACCACCCATACTTGATTGTGTTTTAGTTGTATAGACTATTTCGGGCTTTAGTTGTAACTTGTAATGGACTATTTGTTGTAAGACTCATGTTTTTTGAAGTACTTAATTTCACTTTGTTATTTTTTGAAGTATCTAACTTGTTGCTTCATTTATGGAAAATGGGTTACAACCCAAAACCCGTGAGTGTATGGGTTGAACCCAAGAAACCGAAAAACCGCCCAAACCGACCTTGGAACCCAAGAAACTGAACCGAACAGAAACCAATCCTATTGGGTTCTAAAAACTAGAAACCTACCATTTATGGGTTGGGTTGGGTTTGGGTACAAAACCGACCCATGCACAACCCTAGGTTTGGTTTAGGTTTTGTATTCCGAACATCGTAACTTCTTCATACGATATCTAATTTTAACGATCTTTATATCTACGTGTTCGTTTTTTAAGTCTGTTATAACTTTCGTTAAGATTGCTCCCGTTAAAATATAATATGTTTTTACTTACGATTTTATAAAATAATAAAAAAAAACATCCATAAATGCATTCATAAAAAAAACGTATGGATATAAAGATCGTAATTAAAAAATATATTATTTTTTAACGGAAGTAATCTTAACGAAAGTTGTAGTAGATTAAAATACAAACATATAGATATAAAAATCGTTAAAATCTGAGATAGTATGAAAAAGTTATGATGTTCAAAACACATGATCTAAACGACCAAGTAGTCGAGATCGCGATGGACATAAGCATCAAAAGTCTAAAACACATCGTTAATGATTGTTCCATGTAAGATGTTGTAAGAAAAACTTACAGAAAACATTATATGTATTGAAGGAGTACAAAAAAAAATCAATGATTAAATGTGTACAAAAATATTAATGATTAAATGTGTACAAAATGAGAAATATATTATCTTGTTAAGATATTTTATCGGTTAGCCTGAAATAACCAATCATAAGGATTGAATGTGTACAATTTAATAAGTTGAAGGAGTAAATATAAACAAAAAATAAATTCAATGACCAAATATATACAAATCAAAAAATATATTATCATTTTAAATCATTATACATTTACCCTTATGATTTGACAATTTATGTGAAAAAGAAGTTAGAGTTAAGGATGCATTTACCCTTAAGATTTGATAATTTTATATGAATAAGGAGTTAATGTTACATTTACCCTTATGATTTGATAATTTATGTGATTTGACAATTTTATGTGAATAAGGAGTTAATGTTGCATTTACCCTTATGATTTGATAATTTATGTGAATGAGAAGGATTAGTATAATAACACCTATTAAAATTGTATTTCTCATGTTCTTTTTTTTTTAACATCCTTCTATAAGTTTGTAAGCATCTTCTTCTAAGATCTGAATGTATCATCGAAGTTGGAAAGGTTATTGATGAGATGAAGAAAAAGATGAATATATTTTTGCAAACAGATGCAATTTTAAGATTGCAGAAGTGCTCGAAATATTGGAATGACCTCTTATGTTTTTAGGCTCTTTACGTAGAGCTGTGAAAATGTGATAAGTGAAACATTTTGCTAAATTGTAATGACCTCTTATATTCTTAGGTTCTTTATGTAGAGCTATGAAAATGAGATAAGTGACACATTTTGCTAAATTGGAATGACCTCTTACGTTCTTAGTCTCTTATATGAAAATGTGATAAGTGACTCATTTTGGTAGTTTCGCAAGTGGCCAGATGATTTTCATAGTCTACCAAACAACAAAGAGATTTTTAGAACGCAACCTACATATTCATAGGTTATCACTTGCAAATATCATGGTTACAATGTCCGTCTTTAATTTTCTCTTAAATCTTGGAAAATGGCTTGTGGGGTTAACCGAAGTTGTTTTCTTTTCTCAAATTATTTTTATAAGTTGTAGCAGTGCTATTACTCTTTTTTAATAAAGTCAATAAACATAAACACACATAACACCAGTATCATATTGATCAAGCTTCATTCTTCCAAACTTTTAGGGCTAAGACTAGAGAATGAGAACAGGGGAAGCAAATAATCATACCAGATAGCTAATTTGGTTATCAATGAAGAAAAAAACCTATAACTTCTATGGCTAAAATGTAAGCTAAGGTGATTTTTTCCATTGCACCAGTTTTAACCTCTCTTAACAATCATCCAAATTCTAAAAAATGTCAATTTTTAATAAAAAGTTTAAATGGCACACAAGCAACCCACATTGAACTAACCATGGTGGATGTATTAAGAAAGCCATCCCATAGCATTTTAAAAGAGTCACCAAATAACAAAAAACATCTAAACAGAATAACACTCTCAGAAAATTGTGGATAGTAAACACAATAGACATTAGCAAATCGTCATCAAAAGAAAGAAAATTGGTTTAAATCGGATGATTCATAGGCTGAAAAATGAAATCTAAAACTAACTCAATTGTTCAAGTATTGGTAGCCCTGGTGTATATCTGCTGGCTTGCATGAGCAGAAACCATCCTGATTGCACCTCTTGCCATCAAATCCTTGATTGCTTTTCTTGCCAGTGATCCATTAATCTGCCATAAGCATACAAAACATAATTACAATTAGTCTCACAAGCATAAAGAATAGTTGAAACCCAAATAAGATATTAATTTGCATATGCTAATTGCTCAAAGCATCGATGCAAAAGAAGCAGATTGTAACAATGATTCGTTGTATTGTTTATCCAAATCCAAAAACCATCGTATGTTCCAAAGATCAAAATGAGAAGACCATATAAGTGAAAACGATGAGATCTAAAAAACAGGGGTGTACTGAAATTTACCCTAAGACGATCGGATAGAATCGAAGGGGTGATGAGCTTAAACTTAGGGGCCTCTGATAGAAGTTTGTCATAAGTAGCCTTATCGAATAACACCATGTTGTTCACCTTCTCCTTTTGCTTTCCTTTGCTCCACTTCTGCACTTTCCAATAAAAATCATAGGCATCAAATGCGTTCAATTCTCTAATGTGAAACAACAATCACAAGCATATATTAACAAGGAATAAAGTGCGACCTTCTTCTTCTGTTTACCACCGCCGGATTTGGCGGGCTTTGAGGACGGTGGAGGGGCTTTTTCTTTCTTTGGCGCCTGCAAAACAATGTACCATAGTTCTCTAGTGTTTAGGATTCACGTAATAATTTAGCGTATAAATCCAAAGAAGAATTGTAGAAACGCACCATGTAAAAAGCTTAGAGAAACAGTCGGCTGCGGCGGAATCCGGTGAAGAGAGAATATCAGAGGAAGAAGGGAAGAAGGTGATGAATCGCTTCACGAATTGTAAACCCTAAAGAACAAGGATTTTGTATATTTTTCGTAAAGCCCAAAAATATTATGGGCTTTCCTTTGGCCCACGTTTACAAATCTGATTACAAAGTGATAAAAAAAACTTTTTTCGGATTTAGAAAATAGAAAATAAAAAGAATCCGATGCAATTTATAATTATTCAAGTTTTAGAGTTATCGGGAAAAAAAAAACTAAAAATATATAAATCCATAACTTAACATTGTGAATGTTAAATATATTTTTAACATTCATCATATGAATTTAGATTCATATTGCAAATTTCAAAGATTTACATTGTCAATTTGACGAAATTTTTTTTATCGAATTTGATATCATTAGAAAAATGATAAAAAGTTATGAATTTCTGTATTTTTAGTTTTTTTTTTTTTTTGATAAAAAATATGTTCTAAATATTGAAAAAAAGATTGGTTCCTTGGATAATTATGGTTCTTTATTGAACCTCATCATATATATATATATATATATATATATATATATATATATATATATATACTAGAAAAGTTTGAGGCTCGTGCTAAGCATGACCCTTGAGTAGTGTTTCGGAATATCATTGAAAAACTACCGTGCTTAACATGGCCCATGGAGATTTGTTTAATTTGTTTTTTTTAAATGCTATATGACACATTATTGGCGTTGGGCATTCAAGTATAAGATAAATAGCATAAAACAACACGTACTTTACTATACAATGATTTTACATGTGTTACAAATAATTCAGAATTAATTGCACCTAAAAAGCTGATCAGCAGCATCTTCCATCTTGTTGAGCTAAATATAAAAAAAATATTCAACAATTGAGATAAATTAGGAATATCGTTTTATTAAGTAACATTGCATGCATCAAGAAGTTCATAGAATAAAAAGATAATTAGAACTATTGATGTGAGCATCCTAGGTGATTGCATCCCATTATTTCCTGTAATCAGAAAGATATTGAAAACAAGCAGCACAATTACCAACAAAAAAACTCCAGGATTCAAATTTTCAAATAACAAAAAAAATCAAGAAATAGTTTTGAAACGTACTTTCATACTAATTGTATATATAAATAAGAAAGAAAATGTATGATTACATACACAGTGATGTGAGCGGATGAAGATGCGGCACAAAGGGTATTGGTGTCCAACCAGCAACTCTACACTGCACCGTTTTGCCCTTCAAAAGCTCCAATCCATTCCAGTCCACCGTCTCCTACTTCTAAGCATTGGAATAGAATCTGAAAAGGAAATCTATGTTGTTTAGTGAAATATATGATGGATTGCTCAGTAAATTAATATTGTTACAAAATTCTTGTTAGTATTTCAAATTATGATTTCGTTTTATCTTTGCACTTCATATTTGCATTTTTGTTGAGTAGTCTCAACTTGATCAGCATCTTTAGGTTTTACGAATGACAAAAACCACAAGAATCAGCATTGGACCTTATCTACATTTGTTTCATCAAAATGAAAGCAATCATAATTATTTTTGTGGTTGGGTTAAGGTGAAGAAATCACATAGTTATTTTTGTAACAATGCTTCAATTTTAGGAAGTCCCAAACAAGTTTGCCTAGAATAAATTGGTTTTCTGCTGGACTTAATTCTTTTTATCATGATTTGAGTTTGATCTAAAAAAACATATATAAAATTTCTTTTAATTAAAACAATGTACGAACTCATAACACGTATCAACTTAACTTTACTAATTGAAAAAACCAATTAAAATATGGTCACCATGGATTATAAATGGGCTCTTGGTATATATGGGAGCACAAAAAAAAAGATAACTAAAATAAAAGAAGATATTAAAATTGTACAATTTTGTATAATGACAATTAAACTGTGTATACCTAAAAGAAACTTGTAAAAGTATAGCTCCATTCAATGTCTATTGTGTTACTGCACAAAGAAAAAAAATATTTTATACCTATAAATCACAATCATAATCTTCTAAATTTGTTTTATAGTTACTTGTCCTACTTCAAGGTCAAATGCATTTGAAATGAATGTGACACCGACACCAACAACAACAAAAGAATATTCTCACATAAACTGGTCACCTTCATGATTTCTATGAATATCTTGGAATGATTTCTGTGAAAAAATGTAGTAATTTAACACCAACAACTATTATATTTATCACAAATAAATGAGAAGCTATTAGAAACGAATTTTTTTTACCATAACTCAATAGAAGGATCTTTTCCTTTCCAACTCATTTCCTTCCACTGCTTAAAATTTCAACATGGAGCTATTCTTTAGGAGATGCAGTTTTCCTTAATGTCATAAATGTATTCTAAAGCAATAATCAAAACCGAAAAATATGAGACCAAACCTGCATTGTTTCATTAGTTTTTTGTTCATGGATACTTGTTCTGGACCTAAAATATCATATATAGGTAAAATCTAATCTGTTTCAGCCTCTCTAAGCAATCCTCCTGTCGTTTTCAAATTAAAAAGTATCATATTCAAACATCTATAACACATGTAATGGTTGTTGCTATGATGATTTAAAGCCATGACTACATCAAACATAGACTTTGGGCCATTGATAAAAAAATGTAAAAGAAAATCAGTCATTTATTTTCTTGTCATTTAATAGTTAATGTTCAAAAGATGAAACTCCTCTTGTGCATTTCATCAAACACGTTATTAGCATAATCAAATTCTTATTTAAGAAGACATATTCCAAATCTTCCTAATGTATATGTATACCCCATAAAGAACTAATTGTCTTAAACTAACCCGTGGTTCCAAATTTTGATTACACACATCTATTAGACACAATCTGACAAAAACTTACTCAGTAAAATTCAATCAATCCAAAAAGAGAGATTCTGATTACACACATCTATTAGACACAATCCGACAAAAACTTACTAAAAATCAATCAATCCAAAACGAGAAATAGAATCTCAATCCATGAATTAATTAGATAACCAATTCATCAAAATAGAAGGAAAGAAGTAGAGATGTTTTAGAAAAAAGTAGTGATATTTATGAATTACCTTTCAACAGGATGGATGCATACCTGAGAATTAGCAAAAATGTTCGATTCAGTTTTTGGTGCACCAACAGAAAAGAAATTTGATCAATAAAAAGAAAGAAGCAATTGTAGTCACAAAACTACATAGAGAATCATGGCGAGGGGTCATCTATGGTGGTGTATTGGGAAAGGCGATCAGTGAAAACCTAATTGTCCCGAAGAATCATGTTTGGTGGAAGAAGGCAGTGGCGGTAATAGACGCATCACTCGGTCGATTGTTTGGGGAGGAATATGGAGTTGCGCTTAGAGGAAAAGGGTAGTCGATGAATCGTTAGGGCTATTTAATACTTTATGTGGAGGATCCGAGATGTTATATGCGAAGTTAAAAACACCGGTTGTGGTAAGTTACGTCGTTACGAAGACAGGATACGTGTCGTGAAACAAACTCTGTAGATTTGATTTTGTCGTAAGGAGATAAAAAGGGTTTTTATATATAGTAATGATATATATATATATATATATATATATATATATATATATATATATATATATATATATAGAGAGAGAGAGAGAGAGAGAGAGAGAGAGATAAAGAAAGAGAAAAAAATAAAGAGAGATTAGGAAGTTCCGTTGAGATTAAAAATAAAATAAATATCTTGATATTCAACTTCAACCATATATCTCACATATGTCGCTCTAACCCCCGGCACGACAGTCTTGTTATAATCATAAATGATTATATAGTGTCGTCCGTTCCTTTCTCCTCCGCCACCATCATTACCACCACCTCTGACACCAACTAACCCACCTCTGTTACTTATACCACTACTACCTTTGTCACCGTCACATCTTCTATCACCAATTGTCATATTATTTATGATTACTCAGTTTGTCAACAGACATATATGTATAATCATTTATGATTAGGCATATACGTATAAACATGCATAATCATATATGATTATTCCTCTCTATCATATAGTCATCTATGATTAGGCATACCCTACTGATGTCAGTACGTTGGAGGGTTAGAGCGGCAAATGAGAAATATGTGGCTGAGATTGAATCTCAAGATCTTTATCTTTTTTTTTTAATCTCATATGAACCGTCTCATATATATATATATATATATATATATATATATATATATATATATATATATATATATATATATATATATATATATACATACTAGTAGGGTACCCGCGCGATGCTTCGGGTGTTGGTCGGGATATGGAGAATAAATTTTTCCGAAGATTAATTTGTTTCGGTCGATTAGTTTCATTTTTAGATCATGACATATATGATATTTATGTTTCCCGAACATGTGAATAAATTGTATAACCAACCTGTAGGAAGTTGGTTCAAAGTATAGATCTAAATATATACAAAATTAAAGATTATAATAGACCAAACTTTAAAGAGATGTAAGTTGATCAACAACACCATTGATATTTATAACAGCAAACATTGGTCTGACTTAAGCTTTTCCATGCTTCTTGAGGTTTGATCTTCTACAATTGGAATAGCTATGGAGCTCCTGTATAAGTTTTTTGAGTTCTCCCATAACAAGTGAAAATAGGAAAAGGGCAATATTGTCCAACAAGAGGAAAGCCAACAAACTTGTGTGTAGAGTAAGTAACCTAAAACCAAGCAGAACATCATACTTAGATTACACTATAACATCTTTTACCATTTATAACATGCATTAAGCAATGAAGCAACGTTGGAAGTAACCATTCCCATTCGAGTGTAAATGGTCTAAATTTACGATTAACAACCGAACCATGAAGCTAGTTGGAGGGACTACCAATGGAAGGAACATTCCTTAAACCACAATCAAATATATTTTCCTTTTACCAACATCCAAAAATTGAATCAATCATAACTCTAGCCACATAAGTCATATGTTATATCATTTGCATGAAGAAATCATCATCAAAACTCAAAATACAATATAAATGTGAGTCCTATGATAATACCTTAAGAGATAGGATGATGAGTAAATATATAATGATGGAACAATTAAAGACCAGTGCAATTGTGGCATTAGAACTTATAAGAAGCAGCTCCTGTTACAGGATCATCATAAAGTAATTATAAACAAGTTTAACGTATATAACATGAAACTAAATAAACCTATTTCAGAATGAAAACAGGGACACACATGAAGTCTCTGATTGTAGACACGATTGGGCTCTTATTTTGTCAAGGTAAGCTGTTTGGATAATTGATCCCATGTTCAAGCTCATAATCCATTTTGCTTCCTTGTTCGTCATCATCTGTAGCTAAGGAACAATTGATTAGCACATGGGTTCACACACATACACAGATAGTTAGAGGGGGAGAGAAAGATTTGTGTATATAAAAAGGATGAGTATGAATTCCATTTCCCTTCAATTGTATTTGACAGAAACAAGTCAATCAACCATTCAAATTTGGACATATAAATCAGGAACGTAAGTTATTTGAACTAAAAATCCATTTCCCTTCAATTGTATTTGACAGAATCAAGTCCCTTCAACTGTATTTGAATTATTCGTGTATATAAAAAGGATGAGTATGAATTGTATACCTGCATTCTCAAACCGGTCCAAAGCACCAAATTCGGTGCAACACCTCTCCATTTCTTTGACTACCCTTCCCCTGCATTTTCAAAATCCAAGAATATATACAGACTAAAATATACATAAAACGATTACCATAGATGAAAAGGCTTACATGTTTCTCCTTACGATGTCGATACTGGAGATAAAAAGATTAGAGTTATAGAGTGGGAGAGATGGTAAACGGTGGTCTAATGAAGTTGATGAAATAAAAAAAATAGGAGCAAATAAAAGTGCTTATTACCTCATATCTAAAACAAGTAACATGTTTTATGGTGATGGTCAAGTTTATGGTGAAGCAGGGTGGTGAAGAAGCAACAACATCGTCGATGAGGAAGGGTGGTGGTGGCTTTTGGAAATTTAAAAAAAATGGTGTAATGATAAAATTAGGGAAAATAGAAGTATATTTCCCATCTTTTACTTCTGCAACTTGTATTGGTATGCTATTTTCCATAAAGATCATAGATCCATAGTCAAGATAGTTAAGAGCTCCTGAAGTTATGTATGTAACATATGGTTGACCCACTGAAATTTCTGAATGTATTAAAAAGACATGTATCATCAAACTTTAGGTAACAGGATATCAGTAAATTTGTATATCTAACATAATCAAAAGGAAAATAATTATTACCATCATGATTACAAAACACTTGAAACTGGTCCATTGCTTGTTCATGTTGGTTGTGCAAGATCCAAACACACAATATATAAGCAATAATCAAATTTCTAGTTAATATGACATATTTCAACACTTATTTTACATTAATAAAAAAAACTATAAACAAAAATCAATGCTTTTTAATATCTTGTAATGATTATTAAACACAAGTTACATGATTTAACTTACTTTTGCAACTGTAAGACCAATTGGGCATTAACGATGTGGTGATCTTGTAGCAAATAGCTGCTTTTTCACCTTTAAATATTGGTACTCTTACCTAAAACATTTGAGGTGGATGTAGATTTTAAAATGATAATAATAATTGAGTGAATTAGAACAAGACATACACATTACACACCTTTGCTTTCTGAAAAGGACAAAAATACCCTTTACTGAAATCAACTTCGCTCCAAGTTAATTTATTCCATTTAATCTAATCCCCAACATCTCAAACCAAACATAATATTTATGTGTCCAGCAAATAAAACAAAACCTGTCACCTTTAAAAAAATCCAAACAACAAACAAAGACCAAAATACCCTTGCTTAAATTTTTTTGTATTGGAATAGCTAAGCCCCTTTAATAAACCCCTTATCTCTACTCCTTTTTCCTTTTTTTTTATTCCAATAAAACCAACCTTGAAGCGTAAAACCATAAAAAGCCTTGAAACTTTTAACAACAAAAATTGGACCATTATACCCTTTAGACTTGTTATTACAGCTGAACATCCCAATAATTACAACATTATTTGCACTCCTAATAATTACAACATCATGTGAATGATACAAGTTTTGATCCAGAATGGTCAGGTTGTAACAAAAGCTTAATGTTATGATTTATGAGTTTAAGTCTCAATGAAATAATTTGCTTTAGACACAAAATTAGGTGAAGTCACAACATTTATGAGCTTCATCCATGTTATTGAAACAAAATGCACAAACTTCATTAAAAATGGAGGATCAAATTGTAATACCTCATCATATGAAACTATGATGAAACTACTATTCTTTGTGCCTTCAATAATATGTTCCCTGGATTCATGCCTGCAAAAGCTCAAATATTTTCATGAGAACAGAACCTTCACTAATGGGATTTGATCTTTGTTTAATAAAAAATTTAAAAGGTCAATGGTTTAATAAAATGAAATAATGTTACAGGAGAATATTAAGAAAAAAATGAAAATACTTTACCATAATTTTATCAAAGCAATGAGATAATCGCCCATCACACCCACACATCCAACTTCCCATAAATATTAAAAAATATTAGAGACATGCGGCTATAAAAAAATCTCCAATTTCCTATAAAGATTACTTAGTTTCATAAATAGAAAAAAAAAATGAGTAGGATGATATATTAAACAAAACAAGATATGAAAGCCTTGTGTTGTAACAGAGTGAAATTTTCCACTGTCATAAGCTAAGCATCACATAATCATATGAATCAAACCAATAAATTATACGAGAAGCTTATTAAGAAGCATAATCCAACTTTTACCTATCCGAGCTTATATAACAAACCATCTCTAACATGCATGATGTGAACTTCCACTTGCAAACTTATACTTCATTACAGAACCCAAATATGTTTCTTGTAGTGAATACCAAAGCTCGAGAATTACATAAACTTAGGATGTCAATCTAATTCATTAATGTGATGTCAAACTCCACCTTTCTCTCCATCTGCTCCATGTATGTCTTCCAACTGAATCAAAATGCCCTAAAACTAAAACATCAAATTAATCAATAAGGTAAGCCAAAAAAATGCAAAATACTTTGAGTGCATAAAACATATTTCTTTCAAAAAAGGGATTCATAGGAAGAAAAATAGTTGTTGTGTGAGAAACCTCAAGATCTCAGAAAACATTCTAGGTGTTACAAGTGCTAATGACAAAACTTATATATATATATATATATATATATATATATATATATATATATATATATATATATATATATATTCTTGACTTCATTGGGGTGTTTCTACAAACACCTTATAGGCACATGGATAGAATTCGATAGCTACAGTAAACAAAGAAAAAAAAATTGATATAGAGGATAGAAGATGTTACGGGTTCAAGTTCAGATTGAGAATATGAATCTAAAATATAAAAATAACATCATAAATCACGTCGACGAAAAAAAAAACCCTAACAAACCTCTTCACATATGGAAACAAAACAAAGTCATCCATGGAATAAAAAAAGGCCTCTTCTTGCCCAAACAGGTTATGGTTTTGGTGATGGAGAAGATGTCATTCAAGATCCCAAAAAATCAATAAGTGGAGAATAGTCTGGCATAATGGCATGGCATAAGGCATTAAGGGAGATAGGGATGAACAGGAATTTCAATTTACCAGTTATCATGGGATAATATTGCAGGGAATTCAAATGAGGAGGCCAGGTAAAAATCCTAGACAAAAAAATTACTCACGGGCCACGGCGTCAAGAAGTTGGTGGTAACAGAGGGTTGTCGGATACTGTAGAGAGCAAAGAGGGAGACGGAAGAGATGTTGTTTGGCGGCAATTGGTAGTGTGTAGAGGAAATTAGGGTTTTCAACATCCTCCGAGTTAATAGCGTATACAGTTGTAAATTGTAAGCTTAATACATTATGTTAAAATAGTTGTATCTCTTAATTTTCAAGAAGTGGGCAATATCCTTAATAATATAGTAACGATAACGATATATATATATATATATATATATATATATATATATATATATATATATATATATATATACACACACACACACACTTCGTGAGGTCAGTCCAGTGGAATAAATCACGACTGAGTTGACTAAGTCTGTAGCGAGTTATTGAATCGGACCTAGTGGACTCTCACGACGTGACTAAGGACTGGTCACGACGTGAGACCCGATATTAAGGTTTTGTGTGATGGATTTGACTTGGTTGACTTTTCACTTTTCCCATGTTTTTACTAAGTTTGGGTATTTTGAAATGTAGTCTGAGTGGTGGTCACTGTTTTATGTAAAGGTGATCGGTAGAGTCAGTTTTTCAAAGTAGCATGTTGTTGCATCTTTTTCGTCGATTCATGATGTAACACTCAAATCCAGGTATTCCATTGTTTAACCTCAAAGTATTTCATTTTTGGGAAAAAAAGGACCTTCTGAACGTTGGCCCTATCTATGCATACGCTTAGCGTACGTGTGTGCATGCAGGGAGTGGGTGAGGCTCGTACGCTGACGTACGAGCATGTACGTGGGGCGTACGTAGCCAATGCCCAAACCCAAATTTCTTGGCTGGGACACTATTTAAGCACACTTATATCATTAGGACTAAACCCTAATCAGCTTTCATAACATCCTTTCGTCCTAAAACCCTAATTTTGCAAGAGAGTGTGATTTTTGTGTCTTAAAGTGTTCTTGGTGGCCATTCTACTGGGTTTTCAATAAGAAGGGAGTGGTGTTCAAGCCTTGAACAGGTGAAGAACTTGAGGATCCTGCATCTAGAGTATCTTGGGAAGCTTTGAAGGTAAAAAACTTTCTCCTTGCTTATCCTTGTTGTTTATGTTGGATAAGGTGTCTAAGTCCATAACTATTTCTGGTATGTACTTGACCCGACCCGGCATGGTCCATTTGGGTTGCATGGCACCATGCAATTGGATAGACTAAATGAGAGAAATAACGCTTGGAGATTATTAATATATTATAAGTTCTAATATATTAATAATATTATTTGATTAGTTTGATCAAGAATTAATTTAGAATTAATTAAGTGATCAAAAGATAACTAATTAAATATATGGGTTGATTAAGTAAATCATCCATATCTTGTATAGTGGGCTAAAAGGCTCCATGGATCATCAAGTTGGGTTCCACCCATAGGATGCTCCATGGATGCTCCATGGGAGTTACAAACCCATGGGTCATGGAAATGAAGAGTCATGACACATTAGGGTTTAACCCTAGATGTGTCAACACTATATAAGTAACATGATCTCCTCCCAAATCGGCTACACTAAGTAATAGAGGGCTTGGCCGATTTTTGAAGAGTGTGTATTCTCTCATAAGTTCTTCCAAGAGCATTTGGTGTTGTGTGAAGCATTTGAGGCATCACACTTGGGGTGCTAGGCTCACAAGGTTTCAAGGAACACAAGCAACAACAAGGTAAGTTATTCTATCTATACTTTATGTTAAAATTGTTCCCCATGTATGCTAGATAGGAATATAACCTTGGAAATCAACTTTGCATGACAAATTAGACAAACATAGATCCAAGGTTATTAGGGTTGCATGTACACTTAGGAAGTGTTAGAATGCTCAAAACCCATCAGTGGTATCAGAGCCTAGGCTTGTTTGTTCTTATTTGTGCTTAAAAGTTGAAAACAGAATCGAAATTTGCTGTCTGCGAATGGACTCGTCGAGTCTATTGGGGGACTCGTCGAGTCCATGTGTATCTTCAACCAACTCGGCGAGTCATGTTCATGCACTCGACGAGTAGGGTCGAATGAGTGCAGAATTTCGATTCAGTTGCTGGAAAATGAATTAGAAACATTACCCTAAACTGTTTTAGTAAATGTAAACTTGTTTTTGGTGGTGTAATGTCTTGCTAATTCATTTACAACAACTAGTTATCAAAATTACAAAGTTTTATGTAATTTTTTGATTGTGTTCATATTCATGTTCTTGTTCTTATGATGTTTTAGATGATCATAGGAATTATTTGTAACCTATTTGGTAGTTTAATTCTTGATCATAATGTGTTTTAATGGAGTCCATAACTTGTCCTCAAGTTATGGAAAACCAAGAGTCACACTTGAATTAAAACCATTAAAACAAACACAAGAGTTAGAAAAATGAAGAGTCTTCATTTTATTACTCTATTAAACTCATAAGTTACAAGAAATGAAAAGTTTTGAAAGTTACAAAACTTGCCCTCAAGTTTTGGAACAAGTAAAGTTAAGTTAAAACTTTAGTTCCAACCCCTAGAATTTTAAAAGTTAAAATTCAACCCTTATACTTATATTATGATATTTAATAATTATATATATGTATAAGAACAAAGTCGTCTTACCGCTAGTACGCCTCATTCACGAAGCCGGTCTATAAGGTGGGTATAAGGTTGTTGCCTATAAAATGGTGACTTAATGGGTGTCTATTCTCACCCACCGCTTGCTTGACTGGTGGAGGGTCGTTAGCCGAACGGGTAAGACAAGGACTTATAAATTCTCATTCAAAGTATGATGAATATAATAAAGTAACTAAATGTTTATTAAATTCCCAATCTTAGTTACTTTAGGAAAAATGTGAATAAGGTGCTAATCCATGAAATTACACTTTACACTTTGTCTGAGTCGTTGGTGGAGCGTGTGTGGTTAACCGGCACACTAACTTGGACTTAACAAGGTAGGTAAAGGGTGACTTAAGGTTTATTATAGTATCGGTGGAGCGTGTGTGGTTTACCGGCACATCGATTGAGTGATAAACTTTAAGGGTACCAAGTGATTTGCATGGTTACTTCACACCTCGTTTTGTGATCCTCGGCATCCCAGTCACAAAACCTGGAGGGCACTCCCGAGATTGAAACATGCCTTTGAAAAGTTCATTGGATCTCAAAGAATCTAGGAATTTCTAAAACCAATAAAAACTAAATATTTAATATTTCGGTTTTCGTGGTGGAAATTGGTGAATCGTCATTCACCTACCTTTCAAATATGGTATAGCTTAGATTACGGCATACCTCTTCTAAGTTATATTATATTGTGATTGGATCCTAGCCTTAATATTACATTTGGGTGTTTTATTAAGGACTCTCTTAAATCTAAACTAAACTTGTTCTTCTTTTCAGATGTCTTCAACTAATGCTTCTGGCTCGAATCCTAATGGCTCCTTTACTCTTATGAGTCTATGTGGGAAAGTCACCTTTGATGGATCCAACTTCAATAAATGGATCAGAAACATCAGGATGATTACCCGCTACGAGGACAAAGAATATGTCCTTGACAAGGAGCTTAAGGAAATTGACGAGTCCACTGCAACTCCCCAGGAGATCGCTGACTTTCATACTCATGAAGAGATGCAACCAAGGTGGCTTGCATCATGTTAGCCACCATGACAGCTGAACTCCAAAAGTCTTATGAAGACTTCTACCCTTATGAAATGCACCAAGATTTGATGGAAAGATACCATCAAAGTGCACGACAAGAGAGGTACGAAGTCATCTGCTCCATGATAACAACCATGATGAAGGACGGAGAGTCCGTCACGAGCCACATGCAGAAAATGCAAAGGTATGTGGATCGTTTGCTGAAGCTCAATGTGAACTTCCCTGAGGAGCTTGCAATAGATATCATTTTGCACTCCTTACCATCGTGCTATGATCAATTCCGCATGACATATCACATGAACAAGGAAGAGGTCACCCTCAGCAAACTTCAGGGACTTCTCAAGACCGCAGAAACAGGTCTTAAGGGGAAGTCGGTTGCTATCACTCCTACTCCAGACTCAACTCCGGTCTTGGCAATCGGGCAAAGTCGAGGGAGGAAGAGAAAGAGATCTTCAAAGGGTACCAAGGCTCGGACCCTTGATGGCTCTTCTTCAAGTGGAACCAAGAAAGGTTTCATTACTCCTTCTTCTGACCCAAAAGAGGCTGAATGCTTCTATTGCCATGAAAAAGCTCATTGGAAGCGAACTGCCCAAAGTACCAGCAAGATGTGAAGGATGGGAAAGTCAAACCCAACCATGCAGGTATTTACACTATCATTTCTAATAACTCACCCCATTCGAAATCTTGGGTCCTTGATACAGGTTGCGGTATTCATATTTGTTGTGACTTGCAGGGACTAGGAAGAAGTGAGAATGTGGAGCAAGGAAGAATAAACTTAATCATGGGGAATAGGAAAGTTACACCTGTCACCAAGATTGGAGTTTATACTTTATCGCTAAGTAGTGGGTTAAATTTAGATTTGAATAAATGTTGTTATTCGCCAGAAATGGCAAGAAATATTATTTCCTTTCATGCATTGTACAAACAAGGTTTCACCTTTTCGTTTGATAATGAAGTTGGTTCGATTAATGCTTTCTTTAATAATGTACTTTATTTTAAAGCATTACCTTGTGATGGTGTGTATGAAGCTGTATCTATTGTAGATAACTTAGGAAATAATGTTTTGTGTATTGATTCTACTAATAATAATAACTTGGATAAAGCATCATTATGGCATTGTCGTCTTGGACATATAAGCAAGAAACGCATAGGCCAACTCCAAAAGGATGGAGTCTTGGAGTCGTTTGACCTAAAGTCAAATGATAGTTGCGAATCATGCTTACTTGGAAAAATGACAAAGTCACCCTTCACAGGCTCATGTGAAAGGGGTGAAGGTTTGTTGGACCTTATACACACGGA